TTTTTTTTTAAATGGCATCTGATTTCTTTCTTATGTATGTATGTAGTCTCTATACCCAACATGGGGCTTGAACTCACAAGAGTCACATGCTCTTCCAACTGAGCCAGCCAGGCACCTCAAGTTTTGTCTATTCTTGGACTTTATATAAAAGGAATCATGGCATGTACTCCTGGCTTATTTTGCTCAGCATTATGTTTGTGCGATCTAGCTAGTTCATTCATTTTCATTGCTGAATAGTATTCTGTATACAATAGTATACTACAGTTTATGCTCTTTACTGTTGACAGGCAGTTTTTTCACTTTCTTATCAATCTTTGGTATTATCTCTTTTGCATTGTAGTTATTTTTGCAGGTATGTAGTAATATTTCGTTAATGGTTTTTATTAGTATTTCCCTGATGAGATTGAGCCCTTTTTTTTCCATGAACATTTTTTTCGTGTGTATTGGCCATCTGGGTAACCAGCTTTTTTTAATGTTTGTTTATTTGGGGGGGCGAGGGAGGGGCAGAGAGAGAGGGAGACAGAATCCGAAGCAGGCATCATGCTGTCAGCTCAGAGCCTGATACAGGGCTTGAACCCATGAACTGTGAGATCACAATCTGAGCTGAAATCCAGAGTCAGTCACTTAAGCATTTGAGCCACCCAGGCACCCCGATCTGGATAGCCTTTTTATTGTAAGTTACTTTTCCAAGTTTCTTGCCCATTTTTATATTGGGTTGTCAAATTTATTTGTAGGAGTTGTAAAGATATAGTTTGGATATGAGTCTATTGTTGGGTATACGTATCACAGATACCTTCTTCCATTTTGTAGGTTGCCATTTTGCTCTTAGATGGCTTCTTTTAATGAAAAAAAGTTATTAACTTTAAAGTAGACAAATTAGGGAGGCCTAGGTGGCTCAGTCGGTTAAGTGTCTGACTCTGGCTCAGGTCATGATCTCACTGTTCATGAGTTTGGGCCCCGCATTGGGCTCTGTGCTGACAGCTTGGAGCCTGCCTCAGATTCTATGTCTCCCTCTCTTTGCCCCTCCCTTGCTTATGCTCGCTCTCTCTCTCAAAAATAAATAAATAAATATTTAAAAAAATAATAAAGTAGCCAAATTAATTCATCTTTTGGTTTAGAGTTTGTGCTTTCTGTTGCCTTCTTTAAATTATCTTTGTCTTGGCCAAGGTAATGGAGCTAGTCTCCTATGTTATCTTTTAGCAGCTTATTGTTTTACTTCCATAGTTAGATCTACAGTCTATTTGGTATTTATTTTTGTGTATATGATACAGAAGTAGGGGTCAGATTAATTTTTTTCATATGGCTATTGAATTTACTCAGCACTATTAAATATTTTTTTAAAGTTTATTTTGAGAAAGAGAGAGAGAGAGAATCCCAAGCAGGCTCCACATTGTCAGCATGAAGCTTGATGTGGGGCTGGATCTCACAAACTGTGAGATCATGATCTCAGCTGAAATCAAGAGTTGGACACTTAACCAACTGAGACACTCAGGTGCCCTGACTCAATGCTATTTGTTGTAAAAACAAAACAAAACAAAAAAATTTTGTCTTTGCTGCTATGCAGTGCTACCTTAGTCTTAAGTGTCCGTAGCTCTCCCATTTTGTTTCATTGTTTTATCCTTGTCCCAATACCACACTGTCTTACTAAGCTTTATAATAAATCTTAATATCTGATAGTGTAAGTCTTTCAACTTTTTTTCTCACAGTTATCTTAACTATTCTTAGTCCTTTGAATTTCTGTATAAAAAGTTTTAGAATTGCCATTTCTCTCTCTCTCTCTCTCTCTCTCTCTCT